GTGATGCTCTTATCAATTTAAGGGAAAATGGATGTTAATTTAGGTGAAACTACTGAGTTACAGAACTGACCATGAATGTTCTGTGAACTTTAGGTGCACTCTGAGTTAGAGGTTTATTTCTGTATTTTCTTGTTACCAAATGAGAGCAGTTTTAATCTAGGTTTGATAGCGGTTTAACTTTATCTTCTTTACCAGTTTTGTCTCCCACGCCGTGGAAAGTTTTTTTTTCATATTTGAAACTTGTGACCTGTGTGTCCTTCAGTGAAGCAAGGGTGGAAGCACAACAGAAGAAAAACCAGTACAGATTGCATTCTTAAACTAATGTTTCAATTTGAAGAGTGTGGGAATCCATCTTTTACCACAGTGAAAACACTTTTGATTGAAATTGCCACTGGCAGAGTAAAAGCCACCTGTATCCTCAAGTTCTGAAAATACTAGAGCACCCACAGCAGAGTCACTGCAGGACTGGCATCTTTACATGGAAAGGTATTAAAAGTCTTTCCTACAATTTACTCAAAAATACATAAGTACTGGAAAAACTAGGTTGGTACCACAAATTACAGTAAGTCTGGGTTACTGCCTGTCACCTTGCACGTGACTTATGTCACAGCACAAGACTGAACAGTTTTATTCATATATTTATTCCTGTATCACATTCATAAATGCCTCCACAGAACTGAAGTTACATGCAAGAATTTAGAAACTTGCACAAACTATTACTATTCATTTCACTGTGAATTGAGGCTAGGTATTAACTAAGCCTTTTAAACAAGAAGTTAGAAAAGCAAATGCTCTTCTGCTTTTGTATTTCAGAGAGGTAACAGGAATTTAATGAGACACACCACATTGTAAGCTTTTGTATAAAAACATTGATCATTATACAGCTTTATTAAGATTGTAGATATTCTTTAAACACTTAAGAGGCAGCAAGTAAGAGCTGTCATGAATATTCTAGTCACAAGGCAGTTCCATTAACTTGGTTTAGCTGTTGCCTTTCCACATAGTACAGTCAGCTCACTCTAAAGGGGGAAAAAAACATTTTAGTTCAACCTGCTCAACAGAACTGGGAAGAGGAATAAGAACAGTCACTATTGCTAAAGCAAGTAGTGAGCAAGCACTCCCCCATTCTCTACCTATAGAGGCAGGTCCATGTTATAAAATACTAAGCCAGCTTCCAGACCTTTAGCTTAACTCATTGAGGCATTGAAGTCTAAATACTTGCAGGACTGTACACTGATTATTATTTCTTATTTCTCAAAGGTAAGGCAGTTACTATTCAACTGCAGCAGAGAATCAGCAGGAGTGTAGTTCTTACTGAGCAAGGGACATGTTACAATCTCTCCATTAAACTAATAATCAAAACTTAGCACTTGCTTTGTAAGCCTCTGTAAATATGAGATAGAGAATGGCAGTTTGCTCACTTGGTATGAGAGACACCAGAGTAACCTAAAATGATGAGTTTATATTTCTGTTGTTCCTCAGGCAGTTACCAAACAGCACATGCTTATTTAAGTGCACTTACTTTTACACATTATCTGTGAGCAGCAGTTCTCCCCTCCCTGTTCCTCCCTCCAATTTATGCCAATCCATTTAGGCTTAACCTCAGAAGTTATTTTCTATTTTTCTATTGATCTTCCCTAGGTGTTCCTGCTACAGCAGGGGGGCTGTACTCTATGATCTTCAGAGGTCCCTTCCAACCCCTGTGATTCTAAGTGTTAAAGCACATAGAGTTTGCATTCATGACAGTTATCTCACATGAAAAATTTCAGACTAGGTGTCTGAGTATTTATATGAAAGCCTTACCACTAAGTTATGAATATGCCGTACTGTATCTTGATTTAGTAGTTGCACATCAATATTATGGAGGTCTCCACCAGCCATACAGAGTGTCTAAATAAGAAGAGAAACAGTTTGAAGATAAAAACTATTCTTCAAGTTTTTACTTCCCTGTCCAGCTTTTCTGTAAATCACATGCTTCCCTGCTACACTGCAAAACATAACTAACTGCTTTTCCTTTTGTTTAGAAGCAGCTCATTTAGGGATAACAAAAGCCATCACTATCAGACTATTCACAGTTTATCAGCTACTGTAAAATAAATATTTTGGGGAAAAAAAAAGTTTGATACCTGTCCATCAGCCAGGGGAATGTTTACAAATGGCACAGTTTTATCCTGGGGTATTGATTTACTTCTGAGTAACTTGCCTTGAACTCTTCCAGTGGTAGGTACAGTTCTTGAGACAGTCTGTTGTAGTCCAGCACTAGAATACAACAAAAATGTTCCTCTGAGGCTAACTTCCTATGCTCTGCAATAAATTCTCAAGCATGAAGCAAACACAAGTAGTAGTAAACAGAGATAATGCTTTAATTTTCCAGTTCTGCAAGAAGACAACAGGAATCCAACCTTTACTAACAGCACTAGGTAACATTTATGACCCTGAAACACTGCAGTAACCCTTTCAGCCTGTGTCACAGGTAAGTGAGCAAGCTGACACTTTGACCACTCAGTAACAAAGAATATCCACTCTTCAGTATCAACAGCCAACACTTAACAGTTCTGGAAAGAGGAAACTTCATGCTTCAGGACTTAAGATAAGATATGTGATGAACCCATACTACAGAGGGAGTTTCCAAGAAATAACAAGATGCTGGCTCTCAGGTACAGGGCATGCCTGATGACACACAAAATTCTGAACCTCCTTTCATGATATAATTGTTCTTACTCCCCTTCAAAACATACTATTTGTGTATCAGTTGTATAGAAACAAGCCTTTGAAATCTATAGCAGGCCAAGGTGAAACAGCCACTTGCTGGTTTCATGACCTATTGAAGTTACTAAGTTCTTCACCCACCCATTTCAGCTGATGGCCTCTGTAAAAATCAAACTCTAGTGTATGCAGAATGATAATAACTGAAAACCTTTACTACTCTAATTTGTAGAAAATTAATTTTCAATTTTTTGTTTGTTTTTAAACAGCAGTATTGGTGACATTTTAATCAAGTTTGAGCTTTGAGAATTAGTTTAAGCTATGTAAACTGTATTTAAGCTATGTAAGCATAGTAAACTATGCCTTTAAACAACAATGGGTGGGAGCAGACTGGCTTAGTTATGACATTGAATTCTGTACCTCCCTGAGAACATGAGCTAACACCCACAATCAAATCAGAAGGTCCAACTGGTTCAAATCCCTGCTAACAAATTAAGTGGCACATGATGCAGAACCACTGAATCTACACTGATGATTAATGTCTAGATTGACATTAATGTTGATATGTTGTGTCTTGTTATTTAACAAAATTATTCTTTAATAACAAAGCAAAAACACATTACCTTTTAGATAACTTTGGCTTGGCATTGAAATTTGTGGCACTGCAATCAGAAGCAAGAGATTTAAAGGCCTCAGTCACACTTGCATAAGAGTGACCAGACCTGAAAAAAAAATAATTAAAAAAATTTAAAAAAGTGGTTGATAGAAGTTTTGGTTTTTTGTGTTTTTTTTTATTTATTTCCTCCTCATCTACTCTAGATTTCTAGCTAGGATGAAGACAGACAGCTCATAAATTAGAAAATGTTGAAGTGCTCCATGACAGAGATTTAGTGTATACACATGTGAAGAACCTTCCCATGGTAGACATGATGAAATGGGATCTAACACCATATGGGAATGAAAGAATAATTTATGTTAGCTAAGGGAAGGCTGCTGTATCCAAATTTGGTGTAACAACAGGAGCATAGACAGCTTTCTATCCGAGTGTGCAAAAATTTTCTTGGGAAGTTTACTTCCCAGCAGAAATTTATTTTCCTAGATTACTACTCAGAAGATTTGTCCTGTGTGGCTGATCTGAATCCAGAGATATTTTTTTTTCCAGTTTTGGATTTCAACTCACTCCACAGACATCTTAATGACTGAAATTTACCTAACTCTTTCCTTGTCTCCCTTTTCCCACACACATTATGGAGATACTGTAAAAGCATGCGTCCTTGGCTAGTGTTAGTGCACTTGAATAAAAGCAATCTTCAAAGTCTAAAATGTTAAACTTCCTCAGGCAAAGCAACCTTCTCTAGTTTGATTTTGTTGAGCCAAAAAAAATCTATAATATCAATTCAAGAAATTAATTATTTTAGGAACATAAAACACTAACACATGAACTAAATTTTGAATCTATCAAACTAAGTGCTGGTGGGTACATGTATGCACACTGGAGCAATAGGTTTAGCAGGAGCTTCTCAAAAAAATATTCATGCAGATATCCACCAAATTTTTAATTTATTAGAGAGCATGGTGAGACTTAAATTTGGTCCACCATGACTATAAGAAGCTCTAAGGTGTTTTTGCAAGAGCGTATTTTCCTGCTCATGACACCTCCCTTTCAGCTATGTATGAGGGCAAAATTATTACAGAACAATTTACTAGTCCTAACAGAGCAACAAAGATTCTTCCCTTACACACTCTTCCATTAGGTATTGTTTGGAAATCTCTACCTATTACATAGATTCAGAACTGTGCACCATTCAGTGAGAGAGAGAGACAACTACATCCCTTCATCAGCTAGAGGTGCTTCTTTGTTCAGGGGTTCACATCACCACAATGCATCTGATTCAGGCTATGGATGATGCCTTTATTAGATGTATTCCTACTGGCCTCAGATTTCAGCTACTTTATCTGAAAAGAGTTTTATTCAGCATTCACACAGGCGAGTTAAGTAAGCTATCAAAGGTCAGTCTTACCTAGAGAGAGTGTTCAGTTTGGTACTTAAACCAGATGCTAATGAAACCAATGATTTTGTTTTGGAAACCTGAAAATGTGTATGAAAGACTGCAATTAAAAGAAGTGTCACTTTAAGGCAAAATAATAAATATTTCCAGGGAACAATACTGTAAGAATTCCCTGATGAAAAGTTATAGTTAAGCCTCATAGGGCATCCTTTTATATATTTCTAGAGATACATAAAATGGCAAATATGCATTCCAAAACCAGAGCTCCTTAATGCCCAAATCTATGTTGATACTGAAGTTCTGTACAAGCAACCATCTTTCTAATATACACTCTTGCAACTTGTAAGCCCTCTTATAATTAATACCTGTAACTCAACATATAATCTTTTGTCCATAGTCATATTGCTATATAGTTCAGTGTCTGGCTGAGGCACTGCATTGCAGACAGAGTGAGGTGGTAAAATTAATACACCTGTGCTATTTGGTTTAAAGACTAAGGTGGACAACAGTCATTAAAATCTAGAAAAGCATGTATTAAAATATGAGTTTGAGGGGTTTTTTTTCTTAAATTTCAACAAAGAATTGGTTCCTCAAACCATCAAGACTTAACTGGCAAGAGAGAATAACCACGCCAGTACTTGCAAATCTGTATGAATGAATACCATATTTGATGATAAATTAATTTACTAGACAGTTCAGCCTTGACTAACTTAAAATACATCAAATTTAAAACAACTGACTTTTCAAACAAATAGCAGGCTACTGGCCTGCCTGGTTATAGATCTAGCTTGGCTCATAGCACTTTGTAATTGATTTAAATCCTCATGTTTGTTCAGAATAAACTTACTTTTTTAGATATTTTCTTTGCAGAAATGTGCTTGGCATCTCCATATTCAACAATTGTAGTTACCTTAACTAGAAATATATTAGAAAGATAAGGAAAATAAAACCAAAATCTCACAAAGAGCACAAAAAAACACTTCAAAATTAAGCCTATTTACCCCCTGACAGCCATGTATTAGTTCTGCTCTCTGATGGTCATTTGTCTGGGACAGCTGAAAACACACTATGTGTGTTAATAACAGACACTGTGACACACTGGGCAGGTAAGACACTAGGTAACCCTTCAACACCCAAACATAACAGAACTACATCTCAGTGGTAGCATCCTTCTTATTGAAGAGAAATGGTGTTTTCCTTACAAACCTCAGTGGGCAGGAGGTCAAAGGGGAACCTACGAGAAATTAGAGGTGACTTTCCTACTATCCTGTAAAGCACTGACATGTCATTAAATCTGTCTCTTTGCCATTTTCAATGATGAAGCCAAAGGGCAGGAACTCTTATCTCATGTTTTTAAATACCTCAACAGTAGCTAGCTCATGATCATTCACACTGAATGCTAGAGGGATCTGTATGTTATACATCTGGGTATATACTTTTCCCTCTTGTATCCTTCAGACTTAATTTTAAAAATGCTCAGTTCAAACAAATTAAAAAAAAAAAAAAAGAAAAACAAAACCCAAGCTATATATTAATGGATTCACTTGCCTTTTTTGCTGTTGGTCCTCACCAGTTTTGGATTTGGTATGTCTTCTAGAGAGCAGTCAGTCTAAAAAAATTGTTTATCCGACAAGGGAGAGTCAAAAGATTTGGGCCAATAAACGCCTATTATCCTATAAAAGGCAGTGAACTGAAAGGGCATAAAAGAAAGTAACAGAAGTGGCATTGGCTAAACACAAGTTTATTTTTTCAGAAACATTTGGATTTATGCCTGCAGATGACCATAAAGCTCCAGGTAACATTCATAACTGCACCACAGCTGTCTGTCTAGCCTTTTCGTATCATCTTCAGACAGCCAAAATAATTTGTCTGAAAGGTTTACAGCAGGGTGAGAGGACTTGTATTCTGTAAGCTGTGACAAAACTTGAACACACACACTTACCACTGCAGCAGCAAGAGCCACTTCCTCCCCTCCTTGCAAACCTGCAACTCAAGATGGTATAATTTGTTTAGATACTACTACTTGCATAATTATTATCTGCAGGTTCTTACCTTGTGGACTATGAAGCTGAACAAGTAATTCAGGATTATAGTTGCTTAAATAGTTAATCTTAGCTAGCATATATGTTGCATTTGAACAAGATTCAAGTCTTGTAGGATTGTCACTCCTACAAAACAACACTGCAAATCTTCGACCGCTTCAGTATGTTTAATCTTTGAAAGGATACTAAGCATAGTCACCCAGTACAGAACCTGAATCCCAAGAAGGAAAGCCCCCACACTGTGCTGGTGAAAGCTAATGCTTTTTAGGCAGAAGTTTTCAAGACAAATATTGAAATACATACTCAACAAAAGGCTTAAGGTTCTTCAAGAGTCTTAGGTTCAATCCTTTGTGCAGCCCCTGCAGTTTCCACAGACAAGGCAGATTCCAAAAACATTTCTTCTCACCAGAATACACATCTGATGCTGACTGTACACTACAGCTTAAACAGCTGCATAAATCTGAGGTTAAAATTAAACTTGTTTGCTTATCATCAGAGACAAGCTACTAGATAAGACTCAGTTTCTAAGAGCCTTCAACTTAGCAGAAAGCCAAAATAATCTCTGTGGCTAAGATTAACAGATTCCAACTGAAAGAACTACTTCGGTTTTAATATACAGAAAACACTAGACCCGTGATTATTCCTTGTCTCTTTGGGCTTTATATAAGATGACCTAGGAGCAGAGATATAAGAAGGCACCAGTCTCTATATGCTGTTTAATTCTACACCCTGTGTTACTGAGGTCAGGCCACTCCAACAGGAGTGCTTACTCAGCAGGGGCAGCCCAACACCACTGCCCGTTCGCTTAAAACGTTCAGCCGACAGAGCAAACTTGTTCATAAAAGTCACCAAGCTTACAAGTTCCCTGACACCAGCCAAAGGTTCATCACACTGCGATGACATCCGAGCTCCTCACAAATACAAGGCCATGCACACTTACTGAGCAAGTCTTTCCTTCTCATTTTCCTGATGGCAACTGGCATCTTCAGCAGCTCCACCGCAAACGCCTTCTCAGCTGTTTGCAAAACCGAATCAAGCTCTTTCTTCATCTCCTGGATATTTTCCTTGGCTTTAAAACAAAACGGTCTTTTATCGCCACACGTGTTACGTGTTCCCAGCTACCAGCACCAGCAGGCTGCATTGCAACAGAAAGTCAGATCACTGGCTGATCTGGGATGTCGGGAGTCAGGGCGGCTCAAAGTTCCTTCGGACGCTCCTCAGGCTGAGGAGAAACGCGGCGCAGCTGCCAGGGCGGGAAACGGGGAGCCCGGGGGAGCCTGAGGGAGCCCGGGGGAG